CCCCCCCCCCCCCAGGCCTAGCTAAGTATCCATCCTTTAGGCTTTCATAGCTCACAGCTTTTTATCCCACTGAAATTGCCTGTATGTGTCCTCTCTGCCCTCCAGGAGCAGAGGCCATGTTCATTCATTCACCTCACAGTTATTGACGTCCTACTGGGGGCCGGGCACTATGCTGGGGATACTGCAGAAACAAAACAGACAAGGTTCCTGATCTCAAGGAGCTCGCACCCTAGTTGAAACAGTCAAAAATAAACAGAGAGATAAATGTACAAAGATAACTTCAAATTGTGATGAATTCAATAAAGGAAATAAAAATTAGTAACATGAGGATTGGGTAGAGAGTTGCTTTAAACAGAGTGGTCAGGGAAGGCTTCTTGGAAGAGGGACATATAAACAAAACCAGAGGCAGATTTACCACAAAGACAATGAAGCTTAAGTTTCAAGGCCCCCTCCTAGGCCCTGTGAATTCATAATTTGGTATCTTTTCTTCAAAGAGAGCCCCCCAAATTGTGTAAGCTTTAGGGACCTGCAAAACCTGTATCTTCCCCTGGCTAAAATCTAAAAAGTGAGAAGGAACAAGTCAGAAGAAGAGCTAGAAGAAGAATATTCCAGGCAAAGGGTATTGTATGCAAAGGGCCTGTGGTAGAAATAAGTTCACCATGATAGGAAGTAAGAAAAAGTTTGTCATGTTCAAGGAACTGAAAGTTCAGTGTGGCCCTAGGGGAGTGAGAAATGGGAAGAGTGGGATGTGATCAGAGAGCAACAGGCCCCAGATGGCTCCTAAGCCACAGCAGGGAGTTTGGATTTTATTCTATAATTCATACCCACACAATGATGTCTGGGTAGTGCTGTGCCTCAGCACACGTCAGCTACATACTTGCCTGATCTAACACCTTCCATGGCGCCCCATTGCAAGATCAAATCCCACCTCATCTCTCGCCATTGCCTGCTACTCATCCTTTACTCAAGCCACACTGGGCTTCTTGCTGCTTTCCTAAAAACTCCATTCCCTCAACCCTCTGTGCCTTTACACATGCTGTGGCCCCTACTGAGAGTGCCTTCTGCCTATGGCTTTACTTAGAAAACTCTTACTCACCTCTTAAGATCTAATCTGAAGAGTGCTTCCCTTGGGATGACTTCCCACAGAGTGAGTTGCCTCCTTCTCTGGGTCACCGTGGCACTGGGCACATTCCTCAGTATAACACCTGACACAATATGTTTTAAGTATTGATTTCTGTGGTGGTTTTCTCGCCAGGCTGGGAGNCACCTGACACAATATGTTTTAAGTATTGATTTCTGTGGTGGTTTTCTCGCCAGGCTGGGAGCTTCTGAGGGCAGCAGGGACTAGACCTTTTTCATCTCCTTACTCCCAGTGTTAGGCACTGGGGAATGAATGAATAAATGAATGAATGACTAAGCCCCTAACAAATATCTTACAATCCTAACAATGAATGGGTCCAAAGATAAGCATGAAAAGTGGCTGGAACAGGATCTGGGCCACAAAGACCAGGCCTTCCTCTCCTCGCTGGCCCAGCTGCTTGGACCCAGGGGAGAGGACTATGGGTATGACCCACATACTGGCTCTCTCACCAGCTCTGGACAGAGCCTCCAGCTAATGCCAACAAAGCTTTCAACAGCTCAGGAAAAAGATGAGCATTTGGAGAGAGAAGGAGGAAGAGGCTCAGACCACTGAGCTTAACACATAGGCATAGTTCCCTGATGGAACAAGGCTGGGCAGCTGGCCCACGCATAACACTCAGCTGGTATGGGGTAAGGAGGCCACAAACATTCATGGAGATAGAAGAATTCTGCTATCTGGATCTCCCAACCTCTGCCCAGCACAGTGTTCAACCCCCATGACCACTGGAAACATTCCCAGCCCCTAGGGAACCTGGAGAAGGGGTTTCCATCCATAGCAGGACAGAGGGAAGGGACCATCAGGAGCTGGTCACAAAGGAG